ATGTAAAGTTCTAGAGGTAGATGGTGGTGATAGCCATACAACAATGTGAGTGCGCTTAATGCCACTGAACTATACATGTTAAATAATTAAAATGGCGAATCTTATAATGTTATGCATATTTTACTTTAATTAAAAAATAAAATTAAGGGAAAGAGATGTTGGAGGAACCCGGAGCCCCTAGCTGGGTGGACAGGGTTGTTGACAAGCCCAGGCAGTTCCCTCTGCCTGGAGAACACCACTTCCCCTGCAAGTTCTGTCTCCAGTGGGGGTGATGGCCGTGCTCACCTCACATGGCTGTGGGGGATAAGCTGAGATGATGCCGTGTGACAGTGCCATGGATAATGTGCTATGCTTGTACCAAGCTACTTCCTTCTGTTTTGATAAGTTGCCTTCCCCTCTTCCTAGCATGTCTCCCTCCTCAAAACATTGCTTACGAGTTGCAAGTCTCTGAAAGCTTCTCCAGCCAGCTCTACCGACCCGCTGCCTCCAAACAGCCCTGCATTGCCCACGCTGGCCATTGCCTTCTTCAGGCTGACTTCTAGCTCCGTTAGCTGCATTGAGTGTCCGTTCCACAGACACCTGGTCTCCCTTTCTGATGAAATCGGGCATGTTCAGGGTGGTGTGGCTACAGACAAGGTCTCTGTTTCTTTGGTTTCTTCAACAGTGTCAGTAATTGTTGACACTGCCAAGTTGCCATTGAGGGAAGTGACTCACTGATAAAAGGACCTGGCAGCCCCCATGTCTGTCCCGCAGGGCTCTGTGTTGCTCTGTGTTCCTCTGTGTGAGCACGTCAGTGAGCCCCTTATGAGGGCTCTTCTGTGCTGCTCCTTTCCTGCAGGACCAGACTCTCATTTGACCACTTCCTCTACCCACTGCTATGTAAGCTACCTGAGGCTAAGGACCATTCACAACCCAACAGCAGAATCTCATTCTGTTCCCCAGACTAGACTGCTGTAATCTTAGCCTAGTTCACAGCAACCTTAAACTCCTGGGCTCAGATGACCCTCTCACCTCAGCCTCCCTAGTAGCTAGGACTACAGGCACCCACCACAACATCCTGTTAATAGTTTTCCTACTTTCAGTAGAGACAGGGTCTTAATGCCTGCCCAGGCTGGTCTCAAACCCCTGAGCTTAAGTGATCCACAAGCCTCAACCTCCTGGAGTGCTAGGATTACAGGCGTGAGCTGCCACGCCCAGCACACAATCCAGGAAACTAGTATGCTGTTCCAGCATGCAACTTAATTCATGTGGTGTTGGTAATATGGGGTGGCTATGATGGGGGTTACTGGTGGACACTAGGGTTTTGGTAGTAGATGAAGGCAGTTGAACAGTGGCTGTGGCGGTCACTATGGTTCTGAAAGTGGAGGCAGGATAGAAAGACGGGCCTGCCATCTGCCTTGTGACCCGCTGATCATATTCCACTTGCTCCAGCTATTGCCTGGTTATCTTGGCCAGGAATGTTCCTCAGAACCGCCTCAAATCAGATATAGCATTTGAAGCCTTTTCAAGATGGAGAAGTTTATCTACCCAGTGGGAGACTTGCTTGCTCAACATTCCCAAGAGTGCTGAACTTTAACAAACTTCCTCCCTCCCTCCCTTACCCAAGGGTCATGGTGTTCTGGCTGCTGAAGGTGGGACGTGGCACTTGGAACAGAGACACACCCAGCACACTGGGACAGAGTGTGATCAGTTTCCAGAGATGGGAGATCACAGGGACACAGATCTGGAAGTGACTAGCTCCTTCCTCACTTAGCCAATCACTAGTGTGTGATTGTTCACGTGGCCTCCTCTGTGAGATGGTGGAGGTGGGCCACAAGGTCCCCTCTTAAAGGGAACGCTGACAGAGTGTGCACCTGACCCTGTGGTAGTGCACTTCAAGTTGTAACCCCCTTCCTGGTGGTCTCCCTGTGATTCTAGACATTTTGTTACCCAGGCCATAGGTTGGCATGTTGGGAGATAAGTCACCCAACTGTTTCCTGCTGTTACCTTCTTAGAATTCTAAACCAAGAGGCCAGGAGTGGTGGCTCATGCCTGTAATCCCAGCACTTGGGAGGTTGAGGTGGATGGATTGCCTGAGCTCACAGGTTCGAGACCAGCCTGAGCCAAAATAAGACCTCATCTCTAAAAACAGCTGGGCATTGTGATGGGTGCCTGTAGTTAAAAAAAAAAAAAAAGCTAAACCAAGAATGGACAACATTCAGACCATTCCCCGTTGTCCCTATAAAAACAGCTCCGTTGGCGGAGTACCTTCACTGTATGAGATATTTTCATATCAAATTTCTGACTAATCCTCTCTGCAATACTCAGAAGATAAGAAATTTGCTTGAGAAAGTGGGAGAGGCCAGGTGTGATGACTCACTCCAATAATCCTAGCACTTTGGGAGACCAGAGGGAGGATTGCTTGAGGTCAAGAATTCAAGACCAGCCTGAGCAAGAGCGAGACCCCATCTCTACTGAAAATAGAAAAATTAGCCAGGCATTGCGGCAGGTGCCTGAACTACCAGCTTCTTGGGAGGCTGAGGTCAGAGGATCATTTGAGCCCAGGAGTTTGAGGCTGCAGTGAGCTGTGATGATGCCAGCCTGAATGACAGAGTAAGAGTGTCTCAAAAAAAGAAAAAAAAAATGGGAGGGCTGCATTTCTAACCCAGGTCTTCTGTCTCCAAGTTGTTTTCTCTTTCTACAGCTGCCTCCCAGCTGAGACAGGCCAGCATTCTCAAAAGGAAGGCTACTAAAGGCTAAGAAAACACACACGCAGAGCCCAGAGCTAGTCACACTTCCAGAGGTTTTCATTTCTTATGTTAGTGTTTAATTTGTACAGTGTACCTCAGTGCCTCATGGGAGTGAATAGGAACAAATACAGGTGGCCTGCCTGCTTGCCTCTAGACCTAAAGACAACAAAGACAGTAGTTATTTCTGGGGAGGGTTGGGAGACCCAGGAATCCCTGAAGGAAGGAGAGGCAAAATCAGAGGCCATATCCAGGCAGCCAGAGCAAAGACCAATGCTAGAGGACATGGCCCTGAGTTGCTTATTTTATTATTATTTTCAGAGAAGTGTTTTCTCTCTCTGTCACTCAGGCTGGAGTGCAGTGGTGTCATCACAGCTCACTGCAACCATGAGATTCCTGGACTCAAGCAATCCTCCCACCTCAGCCTCCCCAGTAGCTGGGACTACAGCTTCATGCCACCATGCCTGACTAATATTTTTATTTTTAAAGGTGGGGTCTTGCTATGTTGCCCAGGCTGGTCTTGAACTCTTGACCTCAAGCAATCCTTCCATTGCTTTTGCCTCCCAGGTGCTGAGATTACAGATATGAGCCACTGTGCCTGCCTGTATCCCTTATCATTTCACTCTTTGACTGCTCCTCATGAATACTCTATCACCACTGACTCTAAATCTGTAGGTTTTATAGATGAAGATGATGTGATGTCTGAGAGTTTGCTGTGAACTCAGCATCTAGGATTTTGCTAAGTGTCCCAGTGGTGTTCCCATGGGGAGCTGCTTTCTTTCCATTTGAAGAAGGGGAGCAGGACAGCAGAACACAGTGTTGTGCTGACCTCCGAATATTATCTCAGGGCCAGGGACATGCTTAGTGTCTGAAGAGTGTGGCAAAATCACCATTGTCCTCCTTCCCATCCCCACATACACACCCACACCCCAGTGCAACTATGTGTTCCAGAATCCTTGGGAGGCTAAGAATTTTCCCGATGCCTAAGAGGGATTTATTGTGTGGACCATTATGTGTTAGACATTATTGCCAACAGAGATCTTCTGGAACCATACAGCAGCTTTCCTCATGTGCATGTTTCTGAGTGTGACCAGTATTGGCCAGGGACAAAGTATCGATACCCAAGGAGCAGTGTCTTTGGGAGTAGCTGAGCTGTGTGGAGGTGATTTAGGGAATAGGTCCCAGGTATCACTTATCTTAGCCAAACATTGTTCAGCTTTCCTAAGTGCGAATGCCAATGGTTGCATCAGATGCTGGCGTGGCCTAGATGCAGCAGCCCCTGCATTCTCGACCAGCTGACGAGCTCCCAAAGGAAGTACACATAGGGGTTGCTCTAGGTGAAAGCCTTCTGTTGATCACGTCAAGGGTTTGGTCTTTGCCCCTGGGAGGCAGCATGGTGGGCTAATCTACATAGTATGATGCCTGAGGACTCCTGTGGCTGGTCTGGAGGAGGCCCAAGGCCCAGACACCTCTTTGCCACCAGCCCTTGGGCCCACACTTATAACGGATCTTTGGATCTTATAACAGACACCTGAGGTAAGGAAGAGCGACCCCAAGGTGGCACATACCAAGGACAATAGACAAAGAGTGTCTCTCAAAGACTCAGGATCAGACTGGCCCAGGCACCTCCCCAGGTATGAGATCCTGGGTGCTGCTGACCTGCCAGCTGCATGTCTTAGACACAGAGGCACGGAGGAGGGGGAAGGAGGGCAGGAACCAGGACAAACTGTGTAATTTCTCTCCTTGTGTGGAATGTAAACGCCATGTGTCTGCTTTTGGTTTCCAGTGCCTGCACAGTGTCTGGCACCTAATGGATGCTTAATAAATATAGTTTTGGGGGGAAAAAATAAAAAAAGCATCTGAGGGGGCTAGAGTCCGGGGATTGGGAAGCTGTAAGGAAAGAGACGGCTAGGCTCGGCACCTGTGGCTCAAGTGGCTAAGGCACCAGCCACATACACCTAAAGGTGGTTGGTTCGAATCCAGCCCCGGCCTGCCAAAAACAACAATGATGGCTGCAACCAAAAAATAGCCAGGTGTTGTGGCGGGCGCTTGTGGTCCCAGCTACTTGGGAGGCGGAGGCAGGAGACTCGCTTGAGCCCAGGAGTTGGAGGTTGCTGTGAGCTGTGATGCCACAGCACTCTACCCAGGGGGACAGCTTGAGGCTCTGTCTCGAAAAAAAAAAAAAAGAAAAAAAGAAAGAGACGGCTAGATCTGTAACTCTGGAAAGGGGGGTGGGTGGGTGGAGTTCTTGGCAGGCCTGGGGGTGGGTCGTGGTCATGGGTCCATGGAGATGTCAGGGGAAGACTCCCAGAGTGGGCCAGGTGGCACATTTTCTCTCACCAGTGGTCAGAAAGGCCCCAGGACTGCAGCCTACCACATTCTTTGTCAAGGACACAAATGGGTAAGAGCACTGTCCCCCAGGCACTAGCCCTGTGAACCAACCAGTCTAGGCAAGGTCAGTGCCTTTGTCTCAGCAGTGGTGTGCCTATGGTCCTACCCGCTGACACTCAGGCTCCCTTTCAGGAAGATGGCTGTGCCGGGCCTGCAGAAAACCAGTTACTAGCTCTGATGGTTCTCACTTGGGTAGTAGCCAGTAGAGTCCACCCAAGGGGTGGAAGGGAGCTTGCCTGAGCCCAGGCCACATGCAGAAACAGGACGCAGAGAAGACTTCAGGAAAAGAGGCAGTCCTCCCTCAATAGACACTACCTCCCAGGTGGGGGCAGGATAGACAGTGCCCTGGAGCTATGTTCCTAATGAGGCCAGCAGGATCCAGGTTTTTCAGTCCATATTTACCGACTCACATTAGTCATAGCGTTAGAGGTGGAAGAATTCTTAGTGACCATCTGGTCCAGCAGATGCATTTACTCCTGAAGAAACTCAGACTGAAGTCAGGAGAGAGGATCAGCTTGAACTCTGGAAACAGGCTGTTTGGGTCTGAATTCTCTGTGATTTACTAGATACTGGAAGTGTTGCCTGGGAAAGCTTCATCTTCATGAAACTTACCTTGTAAGTTACCTTTACTTACCTTTACTTACCTTGTAAAGCAATGGAGAAAATAAAATAAGGTCCCTCTGAAAGTGCCAAGTACGGTGCTTAGCACACTGGTGTCCCTGAATTCTAGCTAAGGGAATTTAGATGGAAGCAATGTCTACTATTGTCAGGCCTGGCCCATAAACACTTTCTGCTCAACAGTCCATGCTCTGTCTCCCTGGTCAGCACAGCGGATCCAGCTCAGCTTAACTCTAGAGGTTGGCAGGGTGACCAGAGGGAATGGGCCTGGGTTCCTGAATGAAGGCAAGAGCAGGACCCTCCATCCACCCTCCATGCCCCACACTGCTCTATGCTAAGAACAGGGTTACTGCAGTAAACTGCTGAAAGCTTGGGGTTATTTGTTATAGATATTTGTTAGCCCACTTGCTCTACTTAAAAGCAAAAAATTAGGAGCTGGGGAAGCACAACATGGTTATGTGGAAATTGCCTTAAAAAAACCACCAGGTTTGGTGGCTCAGGCCTTTAATGCTAGCACTCTGGGAGGCCTAGGCGGGTAGACTGCTTGAACTTAGGAGTCCAAGACCAGCTGGAACAAGAGCAAGACCCCATCTCTACTTAAAATAGAAAAAACTAGCCAGGCATTGTGGCAGGCACCTGTGGTGCCAGCTACTTGGGCAGCTGAGGCAAAACGATCACTTGAGCCCAAGAGTTTGAGGTTGCTGTGAGCTATGAGGCCATGGCACTCTACCAAGGGTGACAGAATGAGACTCTATCTCAAAAAAAATCAAACTTAAAGGTCAGGCACAGTGGGTCATGTGCCTGGGATGGGCATTACATGGGATTACAAATCCTAGTACTTTGGGAGGCCGAGGTAAAAGGATCACTTGAGGTCAGGAGCTCTAGTCCAACCTGAGCAACATAATAAGACCCTATCTCTGCAAAACATAAGACAAATTAGCTGGCTATGGTGGCACATTCCTACAATCCCAGCTACTTAGGCGTTGATGTGGGAGGATTGCTTGAGCCCAGGAGTTTGATGTGGTAGTGAGCTGTGATTACATCATGCACTCTAGCCTGGGTAACAACGTGAGACTGTTTCTGTATGGAAAAAGAAAAATAAAAAAAGCTGGGAGGATCACTTGAAATCAGGAATTCAAGATCAGCCTGGGCAACATAGTGAGATGGTTTTGTTTTGTTTTTAAGCAAAACATATATGCTTAGGAAAGCCATAAACAATACTGCAACATAACATTGGCTATTCCTGGGTGATGAATGCTTTTGTAATGCTGTGTAACTATCCCAAAATGTAGTAGCTTTAAAAAAACATTATTTTGCAGGTGGTGCCTGTGGCGCCAGTCCCATATACAGAGGGTGGCGGGTTCAAACCCGGCCCCGGCCAAATTGCAACAAAAAAATAGCTGGGTGTTGTGGCGGGCACCTGTAGTCCCAGCTACTCAGGAGGCTGAGGCAGAGAATCGTCTAAGCCCAAGAACTGGAGATTGCTGTGAGCTATGATGCCATGGCACTGTCTCTTAAAACAACAACAAAAAAACCATTATTTTGCTCCGGGATTTGGGAAGGGATTAGCTGGGTAGTTGGAGCCAGTTCCACTTCCAAAATGGCTTCATGGGGCCTCTGGATAGTTGCACTGCTTACATGACAGTTCACTTCTAAGAGGGAGGTAGTGTGAGCTGCTAGGCCATATAAGGGCTTTGTGCAGAACTGGCATGGTATCACTCATGCCATATTCTATTGGTCAAAGCGGTCACAGGGCAAAGGGGTAGAGAGATAGACTCTATTTCTGGGTGGGACAGTAGCAAGGACATACTAATGCAGCACCTTGGAAAATACATCCTGCCTGTAGGGCTACAGGCAATTTTAAGTTTCTTCACTGCACTTTTCTCCTTTTTCCAAATTTTATACAATAAGCATATATCCTTTTATAATCAGGAAAAAAGGATATTGAAAGAAATATGGCACACAGCAGTGCAAGGTAAGGTTCTAGTTAGCTGCATCTTTTTGTGTCCCTAAGCCTCATTACCTTTAGTGCTATGTCCTGTTTCCAAGTGATCAAGCAGAAAAGAGGTAGGAAGGGGCTGGTACATCATTAAGCCACTCACCCAATGCTGGGCATTATTTCTTGCCTTTTTTGAAGTCATTCCACATGGAAGTTATTTCATTTTCTGAAGGACTCTTTCCTTAATGCTGATTAGTTTGTCTGAAGCAATTACATTTGGTTATAACCACCATGAAAGTTGGTAATACTGATTTAGGTTAATATTCGTTGAGCATCCATGTATAAGGCGCTGTTCAAGAGTCAGATGAATAGTCTGATACTTACTAAGCATGTTTATGTGTAAAACTTAATACTTAAGAAATGTAGGGAAAAATCAGTGATCACATGCAAAAGGAAATAAATCTTAGATGTGCCAGCAAAGTGCTGGAAGAACCCAGAGAGATTTGAAGAGCAAGGCTTTGCAGAGGACACAGTATTTGACCTGCGTTTTTAAAAAAAAATCATGACTTTATTTGACAGGAGAGGATCAATAAATTCCAGGCAGGAAAAATGGCAAAGACTTAAAGGTGAGAAAATATATGGGGCCTATAATTTCAGAAACATTAAGTAGAAAAGGAGGGTTGGAGCCAGATACTGCACACCCTTGGCTGCCAAGACAAGGAATATACGGGCCATTTCATAGGCCATGGTTCCCTGAAGATTTTCGGAAAACGTATTTGACCAACTTGTATTTTTGGTGCATATTTTGGCAATAGTAAACAATGGTTCCGAGAAGGATACTGAGGCAGGGAGACCAGTTAAGAGGCTATAACTACAATAGGGGCAGAAGCTGGTCTTAATGAGGGGAGGGGTAGGGGGTGGGGAGCACAGGAACTGCAAGGGACTGAATTTGGAGAGAGGGGTGGGAGAGTTAAAAGTGAACCCAAGGCTCCCAGCCTGAAAGACTGGGAGGTCACTGGTACTAACACAAGGAGTGCCGTCTAAGGTACCCTGGAGATGCCCAGTGGAGGTCATCTACAGGCTGCCAGAGACTGCTCCTGAAAGTCTGTCACTGTGCTGGTGGGAGCAAAGGAACTCGCAGAGAAAAGGGAATGGGCAGAAGTCAAGGAAATGCCTTCTTTTAAGTTAGGCAAAGCAGGTTGAGTGAGGTGGGAGGAGAACCAAGGGATGTGAGAGAACAGAATTGAGAGAAGGAAGTTAGTGCCACACCAACAGAGAGCTGGGGCAGGAAGACCATGAAGGGTCTCTTTCTGTTGACCTTGTTAACTTCTGGGAAGATAAACCCAGTGCACTAGTAAGTGGTTACCATAGATCAGTGCTATTGGACAGAACTTTCTGCAACAATGGGCATGCTCTGTGTCTGCTCTACGCAATGCGGTAGCCACACACGGCCACTGAGCACTTGACATGTGGCAACTGAGGAACTGGACATTCAACTTTAGAGCCAAGCCCCTGAGTTTTTAAGACAGTACAGGTAGTTTATAAAAAAGCTGGGTTTAAGATGTGATTTCCACTGATGACCAGCAGAACTAATACCAAAGAGTGAAGAGCTTCCTTGGCTGTATTCGACACTGTACAGGCAGAAACTGAGAATGAGGACCTTCTGAGTAGGAACTAATTCTCAATGGGTGAATCTGAAGGAATTGGCTGAAAGGGCAATTATATTTGCTTCAATTGCTGAGAATCTTCAACTAACTATTCATTTTAAATATATTTGATCCTAATTACCCACCTCAATACAACATTCACCTTTTCTACTCCCCATCCTCTTATTTGTAGCAAAGGAACTTTACTTGGGGATCATGCCCAGGAACAAGGCTGCAGGGACTAAGGCTGTCAGAA